GCAATACGCTCATTTTGTGCAATTTTCGTTTCACTGTAATTCATGTCGTATAGTACAATGAAATGCACGGATTTGTTCTAATAAAAAAATTGTGTACCAATTTCATAAGTAAGGAAATCATAAAGAAATTTCCATTTGATCGAAATGACACAAATGTCTCGCTTGTAGACGACAGCGGTAACATGCAACGCAATTGGAAATAGAATTTATTCCGAGAGTGAACTAAAAATGGGCTCTGGTGTCAATAAACCAATAAGTACTACATGAATAAGTTAAACGTAGTAGTTGCATCGATTACAAGAGGAAACTTGTGTATGTATAGGTATACCTTTTGATGGAATATTCACAATTTAGAAGACGATCGTAGGAAAGTAGATATCAGTATATTCTCAAGCTCGGGAATTTGCTGAAAAATATTCTCTAAACTTCAACATTAATAGGAAAACGTTGACTGAATTTTTTTTCAAATAGACACAGAATTGAACGAATTTGTTGAAGTTTAGTGTTAGTTTTTACTGTGAATTTGGTCGGTAATTGTATAATTCATTTAATTCTATTGGTTGTATTTAGTTTGTATAATAACTTTTATTTAAAACAGGTAACTATGGAGACGTTATTTTAATTGACATTTTTATGTGAGTTTAAAGTTTCATCGGATCAGGTGTCAATAAAAAATTGTTATCGGACAAGAATTAATTGGTTTTTCGATAAACAATGTCACGTGCGAGATAAGCCATGCAGGCGTTTTATCAGCTCTGGCGACGTATAACAATTTCGAGTGTTGTTGGGTGAATAATGGTGTTGAATGTGTTAGATGAAGTGAGTGCAAATGTCTTGGAGGCTAACTTTGGTAGTGGTAGTCCAACCGGCTATGTAATTTAAATAAAAGAAACCTAATCGTGTTCATGTTAGTAAAGTAATGCGGAAACAAGTTGTGCAAGAAGTGTTTTCTATGTTGAATTTCTTTTTATCCGAATGCTATTTCCGACTTTATTCAAAATTTGAGTAGTGATTTCATTGAAATTTACGGAATTGGATTAAGGCCTTGGTACAATTTAAAAAGGAGAAAAAAACTGAAATTTGAGATAACTAGATAAGTGTCTGTTGGATGGTATAGTAACCACAGCAATATGTATTGTTAACGTTTTAACGTTATGTAGACGTTTTGTTTTGGCTCGGCGCCTAGAACAAACATGGGTCACCCTATACATGGAATATCAATTGTTTTAGTGTAAGTTTAGTGGCTGGGTTGGAATGAATGCGAAGTTCGTTCTTTTTATTTAAATTTGACGGTCAACGTTCTTTTGCATAAGAATTGTTGTATGTTTACGTTTTGTTAATTGATCTCCTCTTATACTTTTCCTATTGTGATTTGTTTATTTAATTGTAAAACTGAAATGACGCGTTAAAAAGTTAGGAACATTTGGTCGTATTGGTTAGTTAGGAAGTTAGCTATTTTATTGCCATGAAGATTCCATATAACTCTCGCCAGGAAAGATTGCCGGTCACAGAACACATGATCCCGATTTACAATCTCTGTTTTTCGTAAGGTGCTAGCGACTTCCGGGATAGTACCTATCGTGTCAATGTTGAACGAAAAGACTTATTGTTCAACATTAGCACCATCCTATTCCAAAAGTCTCTCGCATCTTAATAAAAACAAAGATTGTAAATCGACACAAGGTGTGCTGTGAACGGCAATCTTTCCTGGCGAATGTTATATTTATGTAATATTGGAATCTCAAAACGGTAATACAGATATGTGTAAATGGACAATTAGACATGTCAGTTCAAAACATTAAAACAGATGAAATCAGTGCTGAAATCGATTATGATGATTTACCATACGACCATTTCTTATCGCGTTGCGTAAGGTGAAATTTAATTAGTCTTAAGATAAACACGTGTTATCACAGATAAGAAAACAACAGGCATGCAGTTTATTTCGAAGTTGTAGTTATTCAAATTTGGTTCTGATTGATTGTTTGTTTACGAAATCTTATAAAAGGAAATATTTAAGGTGGGAGAAACCAGATTATTGGATTACTAAAAGCTGCAAGTAATTAAGATTTTTTTAAATTTAATTGTCTCTCGATTGCTTGCATGCGTGGTATGTGTTAATCTGGCTCTGGCTCTTTTTCTTACAACTTTGCCAATTTGTGTGTAGCCCAAGTAAATGTTTTAATTTTTTGTCAATCAAGAGTTGTGTACCCACCTAACCCTGGTCGTGCCAAATATGACATAGCGAAGGATTACGGGCCCATCGCCCTATTACCGTTTCATCTAAGAACGGTGGAGAAGCTGGTGGATGTATACACAAGGAATGGGGCATTGGTCCTTAAACCACTACATTCATTCGAATATGCTTGAGAAGGGATATCTGGAAAGTTTCCAAACACCGTGAAAGGGCTCATGTAGATTGTGGATAGGTGGTGCAGTAGCCATGGTCTCTCCGTTAACTCGGAAAAGTCCGAGGTTGTTCCATTTACGAATAGAGCGGACCTTGATCGGCTGCTCTTGGAGGACGTCAACTGGGTCTGACCAGGTTAGTGAAATATTTGGCAGGTATCATAGACTCTCGCCTGATCTGGAAAGGGCCAATTGTGCGAATAAGCATAGAGGCCACTGCCCGTTTATAAGCACACAGAAGTGCTTTTAGCTGTGCAAGAAGCTTGACCGTCGACTGGTATTTCCTTTACACTGTACTTATAAGGTCAATAACACTGTATGCTGGCATGCCATGCGCAGATAAACCTACAGGAAGCAGCTAGGTAAGGTATAGACACTCGCCTATCTGGGAGTCACTGGAGCCATGAAAGGCATGCCAACTTTGGACATGCAGGTACTTCTGGGACTAGAGCCTTTACCCTTAGATGGGGAGGCAATGGCTCGCAAGGCTTCATACGGCCAAACGGGCACGGGCGGATCTGTGAGGAAACCCTCAGATCCGATCCCCCATTCGCAAGAAGGAATGTGATCCGAGCTGTCTTACCAAAGAGTAAACTCAGATTATCCGTTCCTCAAACCTCAGGGGCTTGTGTGGTTTACAGTCGCGTCCCTAACGGAAAGGGTCAGGATTAAAGACTGAGTGACCAGTCAACTCCAGGTTCAGTGACAACAATCAACTGGACTGGGTCTTCTTAACAAGGCTTTTTGGTAAATGAGCTCTTTACGTTAAACAGGGACCTATCCTTTATAAAGTAGAACGTGCTCTGAACCTGGTTGTGAAGGAACGGGAGTAGGCACAATGAACCTTTGGCGTTCCTAATTGCTGCCTGGTCGGGCTCCCCTTTTTGGAATTTTGGAATCATGGGAAAGCGGTTGAGATTTTCTTATATTACAAAACAAAACTGAAGTCTTTATTGGGGTTTCTCATTGTGGCGGAGTCCAGTGTGCCGCTTTGAAAAATGTAATGTAATTTGTCACATAAAGGGGACTTTTTGTTAGCAAATTTAGTGCTCTACAAATTTGTTTATAATTTTCACCGTTGCGTTGGTGCCTTCGTGACTATTTATATAAAATGTAAATGCATAGAGTTATGTAAAATAGGTAAATTTAAAAGATCATCCCATTAAATTTTTAATATTAAAACTTAGATCTTAAAAATTAAAATTTTACATGATCTGGGTTTAAACCGGCGTAAACCAGGTCGTACAGTGTGTGACACGTCATTATTATGATTTTTTGTCCTCAATCTCATTCCGTAAAAATCCAATATAGCGTCCGTAAGAAATCAGAAAGTAGTAGCCGCAGCTTCTACATCTACAGTGTTATAGAAATTCTAATAGATTTAAATTCTCCAAAAAAAGCGCCCATACAATGTGCTAACGGGAACCATCCATTTCCTACCGTTTAAGCGAATGAAATTTGATATTTTTAGGTTTCACTGATATCTCAGTTATTTTCAAAGATTATTCAAAAATGTTAAATGCATTTTGTTGGTCGCAAAACGGGGAAACCTTTCCCCCATTTAACCTACACTGTATCTCTGACCGTTACGCAGATATCAATCGTGAGCCACAAATTTGAACCACCCTGTACAGTAAGGCTATAAAATATTGACTTTATTATCCGCCCAAAACTTGTATGTCCAATCAGCCGTTTATAGCCATGCTTTATCAATATTTAAATATTAAAACGTTCCAATGTATTTTCGCATGCCGTAGAAATGGTTTATAACAAAAAAATGTAGTGCAATAGAACCTTCAGAAGTAACAACAGCGTTTTATGATAATGATTGTTTAAAACCACCATCAACCTTGCATGTTTTAAAATTTGAGCCTCAGTTAAACATTTTTGTACTCTTTTAACATCTCTTTAACATAATTCTGAAGAGGGTTTACCGTATGGTAAACAAGACGTGACGGTATAAAAAGAATAGCAAATGTTAGTTTAAAATAAAGACTCTCGTTAAAAATCACGACGCAGAAATAGTCGTTTAAAACACTACGGAAGAAGCTATAAGGAATTTACTGCCTCACAACTTAAAGGTATATAATGGATTTAAATGGTTTTGGTAGTAAGTCCACGACATACCCATAACACTGATATTATACAACAATTTTAAACTTTCAAATCGCTTAGATTTTAAAATCCAATATTCCCTTTTGCGCTCTTCTAAATGTGTAAGTATCTGCAGGACAAAAATTCGAATTGTCTTAGATAATTCACTGATATTGATTTGACCAATTAGAAAACTATTGATTCAATAGCGTAGGTGCTAAAAAAAATTTGACAAAGTTCCCATGATTAATTATTTTTGGAATTTTAAATGCGTCCGTGTTCCAAAGAAAAACTGTGTAAAAGAAATTGAGTGGTCTAAAAACGTGGTGTTTGAGTTGGTCTCTACAAGTACAATGTAAAAAGTTACCTCAATTTGGCTATTTGAAAGCCATGAATCTTCAATCTAAAAGTGTGCTTTTATCTGCTACTGACAGTATAATAAAAAAATTGAATCCCTCGCATGCAAGTAAAAAATAAAATTTAAGTAATATACATACTATCACCGTTTCTAATAATCATATTGCGTAATATTTCATTTATCACATCTTTTTTGCGGAAGCATATTTTCAAATTGAAAATATAATCAGACCGGCGGCGAGCGTCGCGTCGAGCTACACTTTTTCACGCAACTGACCAACGTCCACTATTAAATTCCAATAAAAGTTCTTGGCGCATGCTTAATCTTTTGTTGTCATTAACTAAATTTCGTGACGGCGTTTTTTTCATAAAAAAAGTTTTTCTGACTGCGGTTGATGTACTCATGTCTACAGTTGTCGTTTGGCAAGGTTGTTGTACTTACCTACCCTTTTATCCTTATCGTAGATTTGTTACTGTTCATGTTTGGTGTTGATATTACTTAACTCTATAATTATCGTGACAGTTTATCGATTTACCTCTTCTGATGCGGCAAAGTCGTTTTTTTTTCAAAGAAAACGGAAGAGGAACATATACTTGTCATGTTTAAATTTATAGAGGCTCGGCTAAAGAGAAGTTCAGCAAAAGTATACTTACGAACACGCATAGGGTCAGTGCTTCAATGAATATTTGCGTGTATGTTTCAAGTTTAACAGAATCCTGGGCAGTTAGTAAAATTTGTTTGCATGGTAGTTAATGAGGGTGTCAATCAACACTTGAGTATTCCCAAATATTTTATGATACCCAATAAGTTTCGTTAATTTTTCAATTCTTAATGGTATGATTTCTTTATCTGGTTTCCTTGCTCATGATACAAATTCAAAAGGTGATATTATGTGCCAATTTTTTTGCTATTCTTCAATAATAACACAACCGGACAGATATATATCAGCTTTTCTCGATAAAAAAATGAAGAAGTATCCTAAGCAATTGCGGTTAATCTTTATTTATAGATATTGATTGTTTTAACAGAAAAGGAAGCTTTTTTCGTAATTCGTTATTAAAAGTGAGATATTCAAGATGGGGCGGGAAATACCTCTAAATCCAGGTTATTTTCTTGGGTAGCGCTGAATTAGCAATATTTAACGACCGCGGGCCATTAATGAATGAGGCTCGGATGCTTTTGATTGGTGGGGCTGAACGAATCTGTTTCATACATGATTAAAGATGGCCAATTTAATTACGTAGCGCCATTTTGTGAGTTGTTTTGAAAATAAAAAAGATGAGTAGAGATTAATCCAGGCCATAGAATTAGATGCATTCGGTTTTGAGCCGTGCTTGAGTTCATGGCAAATATCTAAAATAGAAGCATTCGGTGTTGGGCCATCATAGAGCTCAGGTCGATATACAGTCTTGAACCACGAGAACGTCATGTAAGCTGCCCGTAATAAAACTTTTAGCAGGAAATTTTTTAAACGTTATTTTGGTACGCGAGCATTGCGCCAAGTTCACGGTAAAAAGTATGTAAAATATTAATTTTACCGCGAATAAATTGAATTTTAAAAGTTAGATGGCTGAAGACATTTGGTTGGTTTTCTTTATAAAAAAAAACGAAAACGATCGAATGAATTAGGCGCACTTTCAAGCGTTTTTGAAAAACATGAGTGATTCAGAAGAAGACAACGTTCTAGAAGTTTACATACCTTCAAGACCACCCGGTACCTGGAGGTGTCGTGCCGAAAGTATTTGTGTTGATTTTAGGAGGTGAAGATAGAAGGTAAAGCTGATTGATTTAATTTCAGAGTTGTATCACAGCCGCCGTTACAGTAAACAGTCAAAGCAGTAATTAATTCGCCGTTTGCAACCGTTCCCGTCAAAATATTTCAATTGTTTTTGTTGCTCTTGCCATTTGGAAGAGGAGGTCGAGTTGATATTTTGTAATTTCAATCCCGTTAAATAATTATTATATGATTTTGGTTTCCAATATTAATTTAAAACGAGCATTGCAATTGCAAAGCCGTGCAGGTTTACGCCGGCAAATTAAGAAAGTATAATTAGCGGTAGATAATCTAATAAGATGCTGTAAACAGCATCCGATTAAGTCGGGAGCGGTCTGAAAAGAAACGCTCTTAATTCATTTGAATTTGAGGACCAGTTAAACATTTTTAGGATGTCAACAAGCCGCGCAATTAATTAAAGAAGTTTTAATCTTTGGATGCCTATAACAGAATACGCCTGCCGGCTTGGAATTTTCCTTTTCCTTTGCCAGAAGATAATCGCCCCTGCCCGCAAGATCACTGAAAACCGTTTTTCCAACGTGTTATCCGTTTCGCAGCCGTTTCGAAACCTTGCCTAGGAGCAAGTCCGCATCCCTTGGTGGTGCTCGAGTTCGTCCATCCGCCCCGACCGGTTAGCTCCCGTTTGAGTTGGAACTGTTGGAAGTGATTTATACATACTTTAATTGTGAAGGTGTAAACAATGTCGGATTGGGACGAGGTCTAGGGAATGATATGCGAGCGTTCTGATTGTTAATTAAATGCTCATTACAATTCATGCTAATCAATTTCGTGGGATTACACACACACAAAACGATTTTGCCAATCAAGCCTGTAGTCAAGGTTTTGTTTGTTTATTTCATTGTGAAGGAAAGAGCATTTCCTAGAATTAATGAATGATGAAAATATGTATCTCAATTTTTCGCTATTAATTTGTTTCCTTAGTGCATTTGTGACAGTAGCAATTTCATTTATTGGGTATTTCGTTTATTTTAAAAGAGATTGTAATTGTGTAGTGTAGAGATAAGGTGTTTTTTAATCCTAAAAAAATTGTTTGTTTTCGTAGAAATGTTATACATCAGGTAAGATAATTCAAAGAAAACCGTACGTGAGAAAAACCAAGGGTCTTGTTGCAAGCTGGTGATTGGTTGATCGAGTTAGGAAAGGTCGTTAATTGGTTAGCAAATATAACCCAAAAATAATTGATGTGCCTTACACGTCATGAAGGCTTCACCAAAGAAACAGGCCATATAAATAGAATTAGTTCGAAAAGCTGATATTAAAATTCTCCTACGTATTATAGGTATACATTGCTTTTCACCTTCAAAAATAACATGCCCTGCCCACCTAAATTGTGATTTTCGTACCTTTACAGTCAATTAACCTTGACTATAATTTACATAATACAACCCCAAAAATCAATAGCAATTAAATTTAGTATAAACTCGCATGCAATCTGCTTGATAATGGATATAAACTGTGATAAACTAACTAAATTATAAAAATCGTAGAGTCATAAGCGTTGACCTAAATTGCCCTGTCTTAATTTTTAAATGTTTATTGCTTTCAAACTTTACTACTGTTAGATGCGATTTATAAACGCAAAATACAATGATCCCACTGCGAAATAATTTATTTCAGTTTGGTGGGCATGATCACAGGAATTCCTGATTCCTCAACGTGGTACTTTTCTGTTATTGATCATTTGCGACGCTGGTTCTTTGAGGTTAATGGCAATGGGGCGGTGGATGTATAAAATTATAGCAAAAAAAAAACTTTTCTGCAGTGACTTTAAAATGATTACCAGGATCTTATTATGTACTACATATATTATACAACACTTTTCCAGATCTAATTTTTAAATCGCTGGTACACCAAACCTTCACCTCAAGTTTCTCCCAAGTTGAGATAAAAATTCTCCTAAACCTCCACGCAATGTCCCTCAAATTGTATTCAAGCTCCAAAAATACAGGTCATTTGTGCCCAAACGGGCCCCTAGCGGGAAAGCTGTGGGGTAGTGTCTAGGGTAGTTTTGATTTCTTTGATTCTATATATTTTTGCTGACCCGAATCTGAGGTTTACTAGCAAAATTGCATGACGCCACATAAAACATAAATTGTGCACAATTCTTGTGCAGATGAAACACATTTTTTTAAACCGAAATAGCTGAGTAAATGGTTGGGTTTATAGGTAGTAGCGTGCTCTTTACACATAAAGACAAGGCCGCCTGGGATACATTTAAAATCTCATACAAATTTTCCGAAATACTGAGTTCGGGTCGGATAACACCCAGTATGTCTAATATACATATCCAAAATTTGAACAAAATCCGTCGAGCCGTTACCTCGGAAAATTGCCAACGTACGCACGTACGAACGTACCCTGGAACGTACGCATATACATACAGACAGAAAAAAATTTATTCTTTAACGGTTGCTTAAAATGATATAAAACGTCGACATTTGGTGAAATTTTAGCATGTCCAACAAACGGTGATCGCAATAGCCACCTAGCTCAAGCTAGGAAGCTAAAAAACAAATAATAACCTTGACTGGTGACTGCACCCTCGTATAGAAAAATTTGTGTTAAGACGTAACTAGACCCACGACACGAAATTTTGATGACATAATTAACACTTAAACACCCGAGTCCATTCTAAATATCCCAAATTCAAATAACAACAATATAAATAATAAAAGGAACAAAAAAATACTTTTGAATAAAAGGACATAACAATCATTATCAGTTGTGTAAAGTAAGGTGTTAACAAAATTTTTATTCAGAGAAGGCCGTGGAAAGCTTAGATCACGTTTAATATTAATTAATTTGGTAGGTTGCGTTAAAAAGTGAGTTTAAAAACGAACTACATAACCGATACGCCTATCTTCTAACAAGTATGATATTGGTTAAATTTTTGGGAGCGGATTTCTGATTCAGTAAGAAAAGTTTTAAAACATCTCTAGATCTACCCTCGCCTCCGCCCGGTTGGATGTATATTTTGAATATCAAAATAATTACATGGTAAATTTAAGATAGTTCTTGCTTGTTTAAGATACTCTACTCTACTTCGTTCATATTTCTTGATATAACGTAATTATAAAGTAATAAAACTCCGATACAAACAAATGCTACCGTAATTTACGCCCCTTGACCTTGAAGAAACTGACGGAGCACGATGTGGAAGGTGGGAAGCATATTGGTTGCCTATGCTGCTGGGTTTACTGGCGATCATTACTTTTGTCAATGACCGTAGGTATTTCGATAACGAAATTTGTGAATGTGAGCCATTCATTCTTTAAACTTTTACCACACACATAAGACCTTGGATTCAGCTAACTTTACATCTTCATTCCTATAACCACCTATCGTGCACGAGCACAATAATGGTCTGTGAAGTGTAATTACAATATATAGATACCCATTAATAACAATCATTGATTTCAAATTAATCATACCATACTAAAAAACTTTGGTTTTATACGGTTTAATACAAACCAAAACGCATTACTGGGCAAACGACGTATCAAAACTTTTCCAAACTCATTTTAGGAAAGTAACTATAATCAATCGACAACTTGTAGAAAAAACGTATTATTTTGTTCTACTTACCCGAATACGATTTAAATATAGAACAGTGGCGCACACAAACAATCCACTCTGTCATACCTATGTATGTCATGTAAGATAGTCGTGATAATATTACTATTTATTATCAATGCTGTTATTACCATTAGGTTACGATTATTTGTTGGTGGCGCTAAAAGCACGCAGAGGAAAATTACAACAAAATATAATTTATTATGCAAAATACTGCAACACGCAGTATCTATTGCGAATGTGGAGGGGGCGCTCATTTACAAACTTTATGAAAGAAGAAAAATTAATTATTTGCAATATTCATCCGTTATTAGAATGTATCATGCACGAATTCAAAAGTGACGTACTCTAAGCGAGTAAGGTCGCTATAAGGTGAAGGGTGAATTACCCTAGGCTCAATTATTAACTTTGACCCGTCCGGAAAAGTGCTTCATTCTTTAACCTTCATGATGGTCGAGCTGACTAGATTGCCAGAGCGATATGCAAATCATTTCTGAGAGTTTATTCAAGCATAATGAATTTATAAGTGTACGGTGGCATTTCGCGTCTATTAACAACACTAGGTTTCTAATACGCAAATAGGGTTTGTGACTTCTCATGCGACCGTAAGAATCAATATTTTTTCTCAAGGGATGGAAAACCTAGGTATTAAAGCATGTTTCCGAAAGCTTAAAGCTGTAGTTATGTACCTGTGGGTACTAATTTACTTTTCTTTTATTAACAGCAACAGTAACAGTAGGAGGATGGTTGAAATTTATTTTTAGCAAACGTAGGTTGTATGGAAGTTGTATAACATATACGATGTTACTATTGGAACTTATCTATAGGTACTCATATTTGCGGTTGCATTTATATTTTTATATTATTTATATTATTTTATATTTATATTTTTAGCGCAATTTTTGCAAATTTATTTGTAAAAAGGTAACTTTTCTCTTTTGTCCCGCTGGCTAGCTGGCTGGCAGCAAATGCGGGCCCGTAGAAGAACGCTTGTCATTAACAACTGTAGGGACGGTGCTACATGATGTGGGGTGGGCGACATTATAGGGCGCGATCCCCGAGCATGTTATACGAACGTGGCGATTTTTCAGTTTTTTTCCATCGGAAGCGGGTACCGACAAAGAATGTGGTAGGCCCCGAAAAGATCTTAATGATGGCAGAGTCAAACCTCTCTAATAGAATACAAAAATTCGCTGAAGTCCCTTAGATCTCACATGAGGATTGTTTAGATGTAGCGTAAACACGATCAGGCGTTGAAAGAACTAAAAAGTTTTAAAGCGTTTAATAGAAATACCAAGCGTTTAGAAAATAATTTCAATTCGACAATGGGGAAGAATTCGCGAATTCCGAATTTGACTAATATATGTAAGTCGAAAAGTGTTTTCGACTCAGATTTTTGTTGCCACCAGCACTGATGCTTCTTGTTAAAATATTACTACACGAATTATTTTTTCTATATTTCCATATTCAGCTCCAGATAGCGTTGTGTCTAACGCGATCTTTTCATTGGAAAACCGCTGAAACCAATTCAAAAGCTTCTGGAGACTACAGAATAATATAGAAACACCACAACTTCAATTGTGTTTGAACTTTCCTTAAGGAATTGTCTAAGCTTGGTATTACGTATTGGTTATCTACCATTTGTTTGATGTGGTCTTGGATGAAGGGTATACACTAAGCGCATTATTACACGTAATTATACAGTTACGTATATTGGTGGAAAACGTTTAATTAATCACTGTTTCACGAAAATTGTAATTGACATGGCACAGGTAAGCCATTAATTATTAGTAGATTCTTAAATATATCGATTCCTTAAAGGTAAATGAACGATTGAACGAAGTACCTACTTAACATTCTAAATATTGAATTTCTTACGAAAAAGTTCTCCCAGAAATTACACGCAATACATTCTAATAAATGGGAAATATACCTACAGGAACTTCGGGAACAGTTTAGCACTGAAATAACCCACCTAGTCGTTAACTTTGACCCCGAAGGTATTAATTTCAATTTAATGGCCCATGAGTAGGCCAAATTGCACCTTAAAAAATGAAATTGATACACGCCATATAATAAGTAAGTGCACTCTCTAGCCTAGCATTAGATTGTCTGGCAAGGTAAAACAAGCGAAACAGATTTGTGTTTCAAGCAGTATAACCCCTTGAAAAGAGCTTAGTTATTTGTAATGTACAAAGACCTTTACGTTTAAATTTAATCTAATAGTTTTACTTTCTTGTATCATAGAACAACAGTGACAATCCTTACTTGGAGCAACATTGATCTTCAACATATCGTATTACTCATTTTTCGGAATTCACTTTACCTAGATATAGGTCTAGGAAGACAATTTCATAACTCATTGTCCTTTACAGCGTTCATAATGATCCAAAGGGTACTAACTATAAAGATATTCAACGATATACATATACAGGGTACGCAAAAGGTCCGGGTATTTCCGTTTCTTTGCAAATTAATCTTTTTCAAATTGGATATGTGTATACTGTAAAGAAAAAAGAATGTAATGTCTATAATGTCATTTTTAGCGCATTTTTGCAAATTATTTGTAAAAAGGTAGCTTTTAATTTAATTTTGGCCGGCTGACTGGCCGCCAGCAAATGCGGGTGGGTGGAAGAATGCTTTTAGAAAGACGAGGACTGTACATGTACCTACCGGGGCCGTGTAATTAACAACTTTTAGGGACTATTAAAACAACTGATCACAACGCAAAGACTTCATTTCAACGACCGCAAAGCTTCTATTTTTCAAGCAGTTACGCATCATTGTTACCAGTATGTATTGAGTGTAATGAAATACTGATAGTAAATATAACAATTATTCGATTTCAAGGTAACCATAGGTAGGGAAAAAAATAATTAAAAATGAATGTAGGCCATCAGTCAATTTAGAACTTGGGTTAATGTCAAGTTGTTTTGAAAGCAAGTCGATTGCAAAATGGACAGTGCGTCATACAGACTGGCTAAATTTTTAATGCATTATTTTCTTGTCATCAAATTAAACAGAATACTATTCGGTAATTGAGGGTATAGTACTCGTATTATAAAATATATGCATTTTTCTAATGAAAAGGGTAATATAATTAGTGCGCGAGGTGACTGTTATGTGAACAGTATAATTTTTTCTAGTTAGGATAATGCATGTCGCAATAATTATATCACATTAATGTCATGTAAAAACAAAACCTCATTAATCAATAAGGGTGATAATGAACAAATCAATAACTTGCACTTGAATGTCTAAACAGGTTCTACTTTTAACATTACTTTCTCACGTGTTGATTACATTAATTTTATGGATGACGATGTATGAAGAGTTGTGTGTTCTGTTGCATATTGTTCGACAAACAATAACTAGGAGACCAAAATACAAAACCAGAATGCTCATTGTTTTACTCTACGCCTAGGGGCGAAAATTGGGGAAAGTACGACAGGTAAAATAACTTCAACTGCAAATAGATCTACTTACCCGCCAGCAATAAACTTTCGGTTTGTATAAAGGGCTCTCGGAGAACTTGAAAACGTAAATTGACTTCTCGACTCCGATTTACTTGTTCCATCGCTTATATGAACCAGCTTCCTACTTTTTCCAGTAGTTTGGTGCCCATCGGCAGACCTCTCCACCATCGTCATTGTTCCAGATTAGGTACGAACTGAAATAAAAGATAATGAATGAGAGAAACTGTGTAGCTCTAAAGCTGGGTTTAGTTTTTCGAATTTACAGGGTGTTGACTGACATTTTTTTGGAATTTTGCTACGCTGGGAAAGTGAAGTGTTTAATTTCAAAAAAGAAACACGTTTCGGAAAAGCGCGAATAAATTAAGACAGTTTTTCGTTGTGTGTGCGCACTATGAAAAAAATTAATTAGCTCCGGCTAAAGAATAGACCCATTGTATATTTCGTGTAAAAATTACGTTGGCAGGATTTAAGGTGATAGTTTAATAAAAAACAAATTATAATCGCGATTATGGAGATGAATTTGCTTTACGTTCCGCCCAAGTTGAATAGTCGGATTTCTGCGGCATTAACTTATCCTATGTCAAGGTGCGTCTTTGCTGATAAAAGCTTAATAAATTATTTGGAGAGAAGAGTTCATAAACTGCGGCGCGTTCAGAACACATTATTCACGCGTAGAATATTTTAATTGTGCAAATACGACTTTTCTATTTTTTAGTTGCACGATTGTAACTCGTAAACTGTGGCCCATAGCACAAAATGTTCTTATATGTAAGTAAGTTACATAAAATCCTCTACATAACAGGTTCTACACGCTTTTTCGCTGCGATCAATATTTAATGATATACGGAGGGAAGAAGACGGATAATAAAAAAGATAATTTAAGTAGTAGCACGTACAGCCCTCCGGCACTTTGATACCTAATTAATCAAACTAATAATTGACGCCAAGGATGGTATATAATACAAGATTGCTCGATCACTGAATTTTTTCGCCGCGTGTAGTGACGTCACTGGCGGACCCAGACGCACCACATGCTTTGATTTTTCGATTTGTGCACCACTTTCATTTGTATTTTATATTATGTAAGATTCTGAGCTCCTCACGATGCGTTTTGAAACGCTGCAGAGTGGAAATTGGAGTTTGCCACACCGTGCTACAATATGGTTTTTACCACACAAGTGCTTAGGCTAATACGGCTTCGCCTTCCTTCAAAGGTCGAACTACAACCCCCACATATCAGTAATAACAATCTTAAAC